ACATCTTGCGGATGATCACAAGCAGGAGTATGACGAGCCGGGAGGCTGGCGAGCATGAAGAGTGACAAGGCCGCGAGCATGAGGAGCATCGAGACTGGTAAGCGCTGACAAGCGTGACGAGCGGCGAGCCAGCAAGGCAGGCGAGCACAAATGCATGACGGAGGGTGTAAATGGTGTTGGTGGCTTGCTTTTCGAGTTGTTTTGTGATTTCAAGTTGACCTGAACCTGAATAAAATTTGCAATCGGGTCAAGAATTAAAATCCGAATCCAACTCATTTTTTAAACGGGTTGAACCGAATCTGGAATGTATAGGTCGGATTTTCGGGTCGTGCCAAATATTGACACCCTAGGAAATATCTTACTTCTAACTCAAAGATTCAACTAGGAAATATTGGACTTTAAGATTTAACTGACTTAAAAGGTATAAAACTCTCACGGTTCGTTCGGGATGGCTTTCTTACTACTTAAATGATTTTTAGCAAAAAAAAAATTAATTTCTATATTAAAAAAGCATTAAGAAAGTCATGGCAAATGAGGCCTTCGTCTCCCCTGAGGTTGAGTTCTCAGAAATGTGAATTACTCTTTTATAAAGATGAAGAGTTCATTGCTTCAAATAAATTGATTATTAAAATTAGAAAATTTTTGAATATATATACAAATCGCCAGGCCTTGATTTTTGGGCCCAGAGAGTCTGAATTGGACTTGTTTGAGGTTTTCGGAACTATTTTTCGACGTTCTTGATCCTATTTTAGCACTTTCGAAGCTCAATGCAGCTTCTATGATCAAGTTTGAGCAAATTTAATTTTTTTGGAAAGCAATTTTTTGATTTTTTTTGCGATTCAATCAATTTAAAATGCTAGACTTCTGGACCTTCGACATCCGAAAATATATTTCTTTATGTCATTTTAAATAGCAATTACAAGTGAAAGTAAATTTAATTCATTTTAGGCAGCTTTAAACTGCTATAAAAGTACTAAAATGGTTTACTAATCTAACAAAAATATTTTCTTAAACAACCATTATAGTGACCTCAATTAAATGGATAAGAATTTCAATCACATTATTTTTATATTTCTAAAAATTATTGATATATCATCAAAAAATTATCTTGATCCAGCACGAATCTGAAGGCAAAATCAAAATGGAAACTTCAAAAATTAAATCTGGGACAATATGAACTCTGATTTCAGCAAACTTACAGTTGAATTCTCAAAAATACGAATCCAATGACACCAAATTCAATCCAATCCAAGCTTAAATGGGTCCAAATCAAAGACCTGAAGCACATTTAGAAGGTTCAAGCCATAATTTGGATTACAAAATGGTTTTCAAATGTGACATGCTTATAGTTGAATCGAGCAGCTCGACGAGACGAATTCAACCAGCCCAAGATCACCAAATTATGATATTATTAAGTCATTCAAATGCACAATAAACAGTTTACGATCAAGAGATTCAATATCGGCCGTCCTTTCAAACCACTCCCAATTTATCCTTGATCTTCCTCCTATTTACTGGTCATGCCACTATCAGAAAACTATAAATAGACGCCTCATTTCTCATGGAGGGGAACCCAAATAACGAAGATAAGGAAGAAAAGAAACTTGAGTTCTCTTACAACCAGACTTCTCCTCGACCACCGTCGGACTTCCATCCGGCAGTCTACTTACTCTTGACTTTTGCCCGATTATCGGCTGACACCGAACTTCTGTACGACTGCCAATCACCGTCGGACTTCGACCCGACAGCCGACTGATGCTAGACCGCTGCCCGACTGACGTCGAACTTTTGCCTGACTGGTGACTAACGCTAGACTTCCACGTGACTGTCAATTGAAATCATATTTCTACCCGACCATTGAACGTCTCTGTATTTTCTAATTTCAGCTCGCAACTGGATTTCAACCCGACGGTTGATTATTGTAATATGATCGTCCTTAATTTCAGGGACGAGCCAACCACTTGTAATCTATTAAACATTGGTAAAATCATTTCAACAATGAGCGTGGCCCTGTGGTTTTGCCCTTTTGGTTTTCTATCTAAAAATTTTGGTATTTCATTTTTCATCTATTTGTGTGCTGGATATTCGTACAATGCTAAGACAAAAGTTCATAACTCTATCGCCACATATATTTTAGCGCACAACAATTCTCATTTATAATTAATGGCTGAAATTACTGTTTTTTCGAATTTCAACACTTTTTAAACTATTTTTGAGATAAGTTTCTTATTTGACTATTTTTGAGATAAGTTTCTTACGTAGTTATTGGTAATGTAATTTTAGCTTAGGCTGGAGTTAGTTAAATTGTAAAAAGTTATTATTTTTTACTAAATAAAAATTTTGTTTTATTTGCACATTTAATTTTATAACAAGATGTTTAAATTGAAGTTACTATTATTTTTTTTATATAAATTATTACTAAGGATATATATTATGATATATTTTTTAAAAAGATTGAAGCATGTATTAAATATTTTTACATGTATTTAATAATGTCTTATTAGAAATTATTTTTATTATATTGTACAAGTGTATTAATATTGGAAATTATTTTATTATATTGTAATATAAAATATGGTGAAAGAGTAGAGTATTTATTCCATGAGGAAGAATGTTTACTTGTAAATATTAGTACTGTCTACTACAATTACAATAATTATCCTACTAAATAAAAATAAGTTTTGGTGAAGATTAAATCACTTAGTTTAAAATCAATAAAAAATTTAAATGAAACACTATTTAGATAAATTTTTTTTAAATGACGGAATGTAAATACAATATGTTTCATAATGATTCTCTTTTATATTGATGATATTCAAAGCATATGCATTACCAACCCCTCAGTCGAGCATGAAGAAATAAATGATAGATTAAACCATCCAACCTTAATATCAATCTAAACTCCAATAGTCTGTCACCCAATGAAAATTTTAGAAGAGTAAGTAAAGCATGTATTATTAAAACCCTCTCATTATAATTCATCTCAATAAATTTGATATATATAAAACATTATGCTTATGTTTGCATCATACCAATCCAATATGCATGGTTGTGCTTGTTTTCCTATTACGAGGCTCCACATTGCACCTGATATAACTACAAATATGGCCACTGTTTGCATTTAATGAAGACCTGCTATACTGAAAACATCATTAAATTATTGATAAAGAAAATTTATTAATACTCCATATTCCTTTTTCATCAACAACAACAACAACAACAACAAGCCTTTATCCCACTACGTGGGGTCGGCTACATGAATCCTTTTTCTCCATTGTGTCCTATTAAAAGCCAAATTCTCGTTTAAATCTAATAAAGAAAGGTCATTCCTAATATTTTCTAACCAAGTCTTTTTAGGTCTACCCCTAACTTTCTTAACACAAGTCAAATCTAATACCTCTACTCTCCTAACTGGGTCGTCGGAAGGCCGCCTTTTAAAAAAAAAGTGAATGTAAGAACAAGGCTTCAATAAAACACACAAAAAAAAAAAAAAAAAGAGGCTACAATAAAACACATAGATATATAAGTAAAAATCATTGTAACAAATCATACCTTGAGATATCAAAAAAAAAAAAAACTTTTTTTTTTTTGTGTGGCATCATGCTAGTGTAGATTAAGTAATTAACATACCACAAGCTTATAAGCAAATTTTTTTACCACTAATTTATCAAACTGACACTAACTAAAGAAATCACCAGTAGTGGATGTTTACTATTTGTCCCGAGTGACATAACTGGATTGAAGCCATTTGGTTTATGTGGGAGCTCGCATGCCAAATTAATCCGCCCTTTATTTTTTCAACCCTGTTAATTTAAAACATTGATTAAGTTAATGAATAAAAGTTTGCTTTTCCTTTTTTGGGTGCTGTCTACTTGCAGCTCTAGAATGTGCTTAGTTTTTTTTTTTTGTAATTCATAGTATAAGGAACCACCGGCTTTTAGGTTTTATTTTGCTTTCTCTTGTAAGCTCTTTTGAACATTAGCGAGCTGAAAGTTCCTTCTAAGGACCTTGTAACCTCTTTTTTTGATATTAACGCGTAGGCCCCTCGAGGGTTTTAACAAAAAAAAAAAAAAAGAAAAAAAGAGCATAACTAAATTTACCATTTTAATATTTGCATTATCCGTAAATTTACCATTTTAGTGTATATATACTCTATTCAGAAAATTATGAAATATTCATATTTATCCAAATATGCTATAGTATATGAATATTATATAGTTTTTTTTCCTTATGTGATCTCCTAGTTTTCTGGAACTTGAAAGCTGAGAAATGGTATGTGAAATATAAGTCAAATATTGAGAGCTAAAATGAGCAAAATGAAAAGAAAAACAATGCAATACCAAACTATTTTTATTATATTTATTTGAAAGGCTATAATTTAACAACACAAACTTAGCAAGTGAGAGGAAATCCAACAATCGCTTTTCTCCATATTCTCCAATTTCGACTTCAGCGAAGAGGAGTTCCGATCCTTCTCTGGTTTCGGCTTCAACCAGTTTCGCAATTTATAGGGCTTCGTGATCTCACCTTTTATTTTAATAGCGACATGAATACAATGGGTTGAGAATATGAAGCGTTGGAAATTATAGCGCCAGATGGATATTTATGATTTAATTTAGGGAATGGTAATATATCGTTAGCATAAATGCACGTACTTATGCGCAGACGGAAGAGGAAGTGGAGATAATGCAAATAGGAAACGGGGAGGGTTAAATGGAAGAGAAAGTAGAGGGTAAATGCGGAATAAGAAACAACGAGGGTTAAAGGATTGAAGAGTTATTTTAGCCGAAATAAACTTCAAATGTTACCAATTCGTTTTTTAAATGCAATTGATAACGCTTTTTTTTTAAAAAAAAACGTAAAATTAATAAATAAGTTAATTAAATGTATAAATAAAATGAATGATTCAGATTCATCTTTGATAAATTAAATAGAAGGCTAGAATTGTATTTGGGTGGAATCCCAAGCTACTTTTATATAGTAGTATAGATAGTATAGATATACATATATGTTATTTCCGTCAATTAGGTCGTTACGATGGACCTCTCCTTACCCGCGCTTTCGATCTCCCCGGCAAACACTTGCCTTCAGCCGATAAACGCAACCAGGCCCAATTCTTTGGCCAATTGGTCCTCAAAGAAATCCCGCCTGCTCTATCCCGGCATCTCTGCAACCGCAGTGGCCGCCGTCGCCCCAGCTATGGCAGCTGCCGCAACAGCAACTGTAATCGTTCTTTCAGTGTACATCTCTTCCTTTCTGCACCGCTTCAAGCACCTTACTCACAGTAATATTTCTAGGTTGCGGAGCTGGAGAGTAGGAAGCATGATCTCCTTAGAGCCGTCCAGGAGACACAGCGTGGCCTCTCCGCCACCGCCGAACAGCGCTCCTTTATTGAAGAGGCCATGGTAAATCAACACTACAATCTCACAGCTTCTAAAATGATTATTTGAGATTCAGAAATGGTGATATGGTAACTGATTGGCCATAGGTGGCCGTGGAGCGGTTCGGGGCGGGCTCCCCAGTGGACCTTGTTGCCCTTGACGGCACCTGGAGACTTAACTACACCTCTGCTGCCGACGTTCTCGTTCTCTTCGAGGCCGCTGCGCGCCTACCCTTCTTCCAGGTCTACTTGTTCCCTCGCGAATCCCGCAGTTTTGAGGATCCCTGTATTACTAACCCCTTCTCTTACTGAATTATTCAAAGTTTGTGTAGGTAGGGCAAATTTTTCAGAAATTTGAATGCCGGGGTCGAACTAATGGAGGGATTGTCCGAAATGTAGTGCGGTGGAGCGTTACAAATTTGTTGGAGGTAGGACACAATTGCAGCATTCTATGTGATTTCTAGTAGAATTAGATTAAGAAAACTCAGATTTATTAATGTTGTGGAATAATTTTATATACGCAAATAGGTATGCATATGATGTATTTGCTTGGTGTAAGCGAAAAATTATTAGAACTTTGTCATCTGAGTTCTGTTAATTGTATAAGGTATTAGTCATCAGGTATCGCACATTGTGATGTAGAACTTTTCAAACTGTATAAATTCCTTCTCCTAATCCAGAATCTATATTTAGCTGAAGATATGTCATTTGTGTCTTCTAAAATTAAAATTACTATCCCCTACTAGGATGGAGTCAACTATATTGAATATATGGAAGGCTTTACACCCTAATTTGAGCACTGAGGTCAACTTACCCACTAGGACAACAGATATCAGTATTATATACTTTTTTTAAAAAAGTTGGACAACAACTTTCTTATAATTAGCTCACCCTAGTAGACCTTGTTTTCAAATGCAGCTTTCCACTATAGAAATTTCTAAAAAGTAATAAGTAATAGCCAAACTGATATGTGATAGTCATTTGAAAAACAAAATAGTGGGGAAGTTGACCCAAACAGATCGTCTATGGGAGAAAATTTATTTAAGGTAGTGCGTCTTGCTGTCTCATGATTCACCAGAGGAAACCAAAAGACATGGATTCACAAGATCTAGCAATTTTATAGTTTCCATAAAGTAAATGATGGTTTCAAACTTACTCAAATATCATTTCACATAGCCCTGTTGAAGAGTTGTATCATTGGATGGCAAAAAGTAAACATTTGTTGACATGAGACAACTTTATTAAAGCATTGCATACGTGCTTCGGCCCTTCCAAATATTGTGACTTTAAAGGTGAATTAGCTATACTCATTAAATAACTATTGTCTTTGAATATCAACTACAATTTGAACAACTCTATAACCAAGTCATGACCATTAATGAGATATTCCTAAAAAGCTACTTCGAGTCATGCTTTAAGCAGAGCATTCATAAGGTTTTCCTATATCGTTTGGAGCCCTTGAACCAAGTGGTGGAATTAGCAAAGTTGATTGAGGATAGACTATTTGAGTCCACATTTAGCCAACCCAACACCACCACTCCAAATTGTATTCCCCCAAATCCCTACTCCGCCTATTATCGGCACAATCATGAACACTCACAACACAACCCGCCTCTACCAAAACATCTCTTGTCAAACTTAATTGAGGCATTCACCATTGACATCGAAAAATCTAAATTCGGCAGAAGGCTGTACTTTGTCAAAATAGACAATTCGTGGCATTGTATAACTATGAACTACAAAAAAAAATGCAACAATTCTCCATCAACATATTGGAAATGTCTGCCATAGCCAAATGATGACAATGAATAAAATTCACCATTCTGACATTCCAATGCAACATCCACCAACTTATTGGTCCGGTCATATAAACGCTACAACAACAATTTTCATTGTTAAACTCTTGTGATACAACTTCACTATAGAATACAATATCGACGTATCCAACAAAACTATAGATGTACTCTCATGCTTGCATGTCAATTTGGACACCAGAGGCGAAGACGTTACATTTACTATTCTAATTACACCGATTCCTCTTCTATTGCATCGAATTAAAAAAGTAACGATAACCTCTTTGGAGTTGCAATTACTCTCCTAAGATCTAAAAAGGACTAATAGACCACCCCAAATTCTTATTTCAAGATGGATTTATTCATATAAGTAGTAGAATCATCCTTCTAGCTAATTCCCAAGTTAAAAACAAAGGTCATCCAGGAATGCCTTGAAGGTGTCATAGGAGGTAATGACAATGTCTATAAATTACACACCGAATTGCCACTCACTTCTAGTGGCCTTGGATGAAAAATGACTTTTAATAGTTCTTATAGCCCTTGCCAATCCCAGAAGTACCTTGGGAAGACTTGATAATGAACTTCATCATCAAAATTGCTAATATCAAGCGCTAAGACAAATGATTATTGTGATGGTTGATCATCTAACTAAATAAATCCATGTCTCTTTTTTACCACCACAGTTCACAGCAATCAAAGTAGCTTCGATTTTCATTTCTGATGTTTGCAAATATGACGATGTTTAAAATATTATCATATTTAATTGGGATAAATTTTTCCTCAACAAATTCTTGGCAGCTTTATTTAAAGCCATTTCCACAAAACTCAACCACAGTATCACCACACATCACTCGAAAATTGACAACCATATGGAAGTGACTATCGGTGATTGGAGCAATAATTGTGCTGCTATATCATGGACAACCTGTCTTAGTGAGCCTACTACCTCCCTTGGGCTGAGTTATTTTATATATTTTTTCACTTAACAATCAATATTTTGTTAGCCCCATGAGCTTGTATTATATACTGATTATTGACAATAATTAATATATTAAAGAATTAGTCTAAGGATTTGATAAGTATTATGTAGATTTATAGGAAAAGTTATTTGGAGCTACATGTTGCATATGAAGATGGCACTTTAGTTTAGGAAATTTTTGTTTTTCTATCTATATGTAAGGTATATGTGAACAAGAAATCAAAGCAAGCTAGCAAGCAAGAAAGAGAAATTATTAAGCTATATAATAGCCAAAAATAATTTATTCACATATTATTTTATGTTATATGTTTCAAAACTTGAAGTTACATATTTCTATAATGTGCAAATAACTAGATAGAAAATTGTAGAAAAATAAAAATTGAAAATTGATTTAGTTTGCAGGTCTCCGTCAGGATTTATGAGTCTTCACAAACTTAATGAACCTTCACAAATAAGTGACACTGCTCCGTAAATTGACATAAGCTATGACACTAAATCTTAATTAGTATCGAGCCTTTTCAAAATGATTTATGCGTCTTAACGAGTTCTAGAGTAATATGAAAGTTTATAATTAAACATGATCAATTTGTTTGAGACATAGTTTTCACCATAAATAGATTTTTTTTGGGATATTCCACTGTAATTATATATTTTTAAAAATATTAACATAAACATATGCTTATATTTATATATGTTAAGTGAAAATCCTAATCACCAAGAATTCCATTGAAAATCTATTTTAACCACCAAAAAACCCTAGCTTCCTGATGCAAAGTATTTTTAATTAGAGAAATTTTTTGAATGAGAAATGCTTTCTAGTTATTATTAATCAACTTTAATTCCGAGTTCTGCATTCTTTTTTCTTCATGCAACTAGAGATTTGTGTGTAAGATCATTTTATACTTTTTTTACTTTTTGTATTCATATTATATTTGGTTAAGTCATTTTTGAGAGAAAATGCTTAGAGGTGGCACTCTTACTCACAACTAGGTGAAGGGTATGATTCCTTGAAGGAAGTGATTGTAAAGTTTTTTGGTGTCTGCGTGAAACAAAGGAGTGTTATTGAGACTCTAGGAATACCATTTGACCTAGGTATGGACATAGGCTCATTTAGCCAAACTATATAAAAAAATTTGTACCACTTGATTTACTTGTTCTATATATTCAATACTCTTGCTTTATGTGTTAGACAGTTATCCAATAAATGCAACTCATTAAACTATATCATTTGAATCAATTATATTGTTATATTAAATATTTAAAAATACTCAATTAAAGGAGTTTTATTGAGACTCTAGGAATTCCATCTGACCTAGGTATGGGCATAGGCTCATTTAGCCAAAATACATAAATTTTTTTTGTAACTATTGATTTACTTGTTTTATATATTCAATGATTTTGCTTTATCTGGTCAACAGTTATACAAGAATTGCAACTCATTAAACTTTATCCTTTGAATCAAGTGTATTGTTATATTAAATATTTAAAAATACTCAATTCAGTCTGTCTTGGGCCATATATAAAACCATCATACATCAACTTTTCAGGTCATGTATGGTCGACCAGCTCAAGCTATTCTCCCTTATGTTGGGAGATCATCATTAGTGAAATTCTTTTACGACCTTCTCACCCAATGTGATGCCACATTGTGGAACCTTAAAGAACACCTTCAATGAGCGCAACAATGCTTGGAAAGCCATTTGGAAAAACATTATTGCGACTTAGAATTCCAATAGGTTGTAAAGTTCTCATAAAGCTGCAATGTATTGACAATTGTCCATTCAGCAACTATCATATTTGAAGCTCTGTAGGCAACATTGTGGACCATATAGCATGATGAAATGAGTCGCCCCAACCACTTACAAGTTGCAATACTGGCACAAATCCTCATGCACTTAGTTTTCCTTGTTTCTCACTACAATGCCTATTGCCAGAATCTATAGCTTCATCCAGCTCAGCTGCCGACTACTTGGGAAAATCATCCTTTAGTGCAGCCAACCTCTACCCTCTTCTCCCATTACATTGCAAGATAAGGTTAAATCGAGATCCAATAACCTGTCCTATATGAACCTGAAAATGAGCTCAAGAACACGTTTTCCGACCTCAACCATGAGAGCAAGGTCATTTTCAGAGGTGATGAAGCTATTACAAACCTAATAGGTGAACCATGCTCTTGTTCACAAACCCAAACTGTCAGGATGGTTGTGAGACTTCCAAATAGCCGCGGGTTAACTTGAGTGGTGGTGTGGGCATAAAATAAGTGAATATCACAAGTCTCTTTCTAGTTTGTTAAAGGGCAGTCCACACGTTAGCCTCATGTTGGGCGGTTAGTTATTTAGGTATCTTGATACAGAGTAATAGTGGGGAGTATGGCTATTTATGCAAAAAAGAGAAACCCAATACCTTCTTCTTTTTATTCGGGTCTTCTTTTTATTCTTTCCCTTGTAGCTAAGGGCACTTTTCAATTGTACCGTATCTCCTAGCCTTCAGGTGAAGCTCTCTATTTTTAACCTTACAATAATACAACCTTCAAATATTCCTATCATATAGTCCCTTAAATTATCACAACAAAAAACATTTTGTTTACATTCTTGAAAGTATTCATGCCATCTTGTGTCTTTTCCTTTTGACTCTGTTACATGGAAAATCATTTCCTCCTACTTCTAAGATCAAGAGGTCCTTTTAGAATCTTTTGTTTCAAATCTTGGATCAAGGATTTTTGTTTGACAAACTCATTTTTAACATTTTAAGACTATTTTCTGTTGCACTGATACATTTGCACCTATCTTTGTTTTTGTCTGAAAATGTTGTGAAATTTTTTTTTCAGGCAAATATTTAAGTATATCTTGGATGCATTTTTAAAATTTAATCATGATAAACAACTAATAAAACAATGTCAAATTCACTTTAAAGTTGGCCTTGGTTGGAGGCATGCCATTGGACAAGTATCCTGAAGACATCTTAACGTGTACTAAGTTTGCTTGCTCTATTCTTATCCTTTAGATACAAATCACCATGCCACCAATTTTTATAGGATCAAGGCATTTCAAACTAAGGTTCCCTTTGCTCAGCAAAAAAAGATTTAGAAACATAAGATAAATAAATGATAATTTCCAAAAAAATCTAAGGTGTTGTTTGGTTGCATATAAAAGAAGTGTAAAGTATTCCAAACGCAGTGGTTTTGAGAATATTAACGTTTAGTTTGAAGTAAAACAAATATAGTGTAAAATTTTGGTGTATTTGGAATTCACCCTCTAATTCATTTTTTGTGTATTTGGAATTCCTCAAATTTGGACGAATTCCAAATACATTAAAAATTCATTGCAATTGTCGTCATTATGTGTCGGTCGCCGACCACCACCGCTCACCATCGAGCACCACCGCCGTCCGCCATCACCATTTATTGCCTCCCACCCCTGAGCAACTTTGATCACCACCACTACGACATCCAGCCACCACTTCGCCCACGGATGTTGACCACCAACGCCGCCACCCACCAATGCGTTATCATGGCCGCCAGCTATCGATGTGCACCGTTGAGCACCACCACCCCCCCGGAACCACTGGCCGCCATTGTCGCCGATGTCGGCCACCTGCCAACTCCCTCTTTTCACTTTACATTTTATTCATTTTACATTAAACCAAACAAAAAATGTAATCTCATGCATATGATGCACGTGCATAGATACAATGACACAGACACGACACGACACGACATGACACGGACATGGGACACGACATTTTTTTTAAAACATATGACACAGGTACGATGCGAACACGGCATTTCATTTTTTTATATAGTGTATAGAAAGTAATGTAACATTATATTAGAAATGATAAATAATAATAAATCAATATCATAAAAATTTGTTTAGTTTATAATATAAAATGTTTAGTAGAAAATATCTAGTACAACCACAAAAATGAATCAAAAAATAATTTAGTACAACATCAAGCCTTAACTACTCAGTAGAGGGAATAATATGATTAGCTTCAGAGGTTTGTTTTTGGCCTTCAATATCATCATAATTGAATATTGAGATTGCCCCTTTTAGCTATCCTCTTTCTTCTCTCCTTCCCCTATTTCAAATCCTTCTCTCTCACCACTCCCATTATCAATCCCCCCCCCCCCCCCCCCCCCCCCCCCCCCACCCCCTCTCCCTCTCCAACTCATCTCATTATCTTCTTGATAGATCTGTTTTGCTTCCATACGCCAAAAACCAACCTCCCTAATTTGAAACTCTTGCTTCATGCCTTTATGAAGTATTCTATTTTTACAAATACAACTAAAAAGATGTTATGAATGTAAAACACGCAAAAAAATTAATGCCTCGCATATCAAAGACAACTAACTAAATAAAAATCCGCATTCAACAGGCACAAACAAGACTAAATTAGAAATATAAAACTTTATAAATAGGCAATTTCATAAGCAAATGCAAGAAGATCTTGAAAAAAAATAGAGATCTTGAAAAAAACAGAGAACTTGAATATATACCGAGCTTCACTCATTTAGCACACCTCGCTCTCCCTCCTCTGCCTTTGACAGAGTAGGCACAAGAGTCGATGTCTCGTGCTTGTGAAAATGGCGAAGACTAACGACTGAACAAGTCAGATCACAAATGTCTATGAGCGAAAATGATGAGAAGACAAGAAAACTACTTTAATCGGTCTTACCTAGCTTCAAATAGAAACGTAACATGCTCGATTGGCTTCGCCTCATCGCGGAAATGATGAAGGGTCGAAAAGAGACGAATGGGGAAGCCAAAAAAATTGAGGGAATGGGGATATGCCGGGCTTCAATCGAACAATAGCTCACTCGGTTGGCTTGCCTATCGCGCAAAGGAAGACACACAAAGGAAGAAGACGAGGGAGACAAATCGTGAAAAGGGAAAACCTAGTGCTCTCTATACATGACGTGAATACTATATATACACCTTTTATTTTATTAAAAGAATATTAAAATATAAGCATTTTATAATTTTAATAAATTTAATTATCAAATATTAGGACATGCGTGCCAGACACGATTGTCCGTTTTATTTTTATTAATATTTTAATCTGATGTGATTCTGTCATGTCCGACATGTGTCCTAGCCGTGTCAGGCGCGTGTCCATGTCGAACACGCGTTTGACATTGCATTCCCTCTTATGAAGGAGTGTTGGTGCATCAGAGTCTCATGCATTCTTTTTTCACTCATCCTAACAACTCCAAAACATTCCTTTTACACTACATTTCTTTTACAATGTATTCCTTTTATACTGCATTCCTTTTTTGAGCAATCAGACAGCCCCTAAAACTCTTAAATTGTTCCAAGATCATGTGTTGGAGGAAATAAATATATGATGTAGTAGGGAGAAGGTTCTTTCTGAGGGAAGGTAGAGAGAAATCAAATCAAATAAAAGTTGTACAATATTGCATTATTTATATTTTTGTATCATCATGATCATCATCATCTTCCACAACTATTTGAGATCGGCGATTCATTTGTATTTTTGTGAATGTCTAAATCGCAAATTGAGACCACCAAATTCACTTTAGCTCAAAAATCAAAACTGCTGTAGGAAGTCTGGAACTGAGTCTAAATTAGCATTTAAACTTGCATTTGAGCTTTCAAAATGTTCTGTATCGTTTGCATAACAGAGTGAAAATATACAACATTATATTTACTTGTTCTTTACGAGAAGCTCATTTTCTCTGATATGATATGCATTTTTCTTTGATAATGTTGTAGTATTTTCTGAATATTGATAATTTTTTAACTCTGCAGATTTTACAAATGTAAGGCACCATTCATTATCTGTAGGTAATGTACAATGTTAGTGACCAAAGCAAAGAACTAAAAACACTAGCAAATTACTCTATTACAAAATCCTTTAATCATTCTCTATTTTGGGATGTCCTTGATTGGCTTTTTTACATAGGAACAAGAAGGTGCCACGCTGCTGGTCACTGCAAAATTTTCCGTCCTTACTAAGCGCAACATATATCTCGAGTTTGATGAGGTACATCTCTTCATTTGTCTTTGATTTAAGTGAGTTCGTAGTAAGACACAATTATTAATTTAAGGATCTTGAGAATAATTGGCAGATTGTAGGTTAATTTTTTGTGCTCATTATAAAAATTTGAAAATTAGTACAAAAAGAATAGTTTACCTAGATTCTTTCAAATCCAAGAATTTGAACTATAATGAAGTTATCACTAAGTCTAGGTAATGCATTAACTAATTTGTTTTCAATTTCAATTTTATATTTAGGAACAAAAGAAAAATCTTATTAAAATTCAACATTTAGTTTGTCTATTATTCAATTTCCTTTGTATTAATAAAATCAAGAGTGTCATGCTTGGAATTAAAAATAATTTTATTTAATCTGAAATTTTTATTTATCTTTAAAATAATGGTGATAATAATTTTATTAAATCCCCCATAAAATATGGCTAATCTATAAAAACGAAAATTTTTTATTGTTTGCCAATTAATAAGTTCTTCAATCTTGATAGGATGTGATAGAGGCCATAAATAGAAGCAACAAAATCTAGAAATATTATCACTTTTTGTACTAAAAGCAATATTTCTTAAAGTTGACCTATGATTTCTCTTTTCTGATTCGTTTCATAACTAATCATAAGTGTCCTAAAAGTTTTTCTTCATCAATACAGCAGATCAAAATAACATCGAAGAATACCATCAAAAATATTTCAAGATAAAGTTTAAGAACTCTCTTCATCAACACATTGATTATGCTTGGGGTATTAGATAATCCATAAAGCATAACTAGCTATTCATATGAACCATATAGAATTTTAAAAGCATTGTACAATCATCTTTCAGTTCTTATCTTAATTTGATAATATCTATTTTTTATATCAATTTTGAAAAACATAATTTAAACTAAAAACTTGATGCAGAATATCATTTAATCGAGATATAAATAATTTATATTTGAAGTTATTTTATTAGTTGAACTGCTATTCACGCACTCTTTAATAATCATCTTTTTTTGGAAGTTAATAAAGCAGAAACAACACATGAGCTAAGACTTCGTTGAAACACAGCTCATCTTGGTCTGTTGGTTGGGAGCTTAGGCTACCAAATTAGAGGTCATGGATTCGAGTCTTGTGTATGCGATATGTGTATGAGTATACCTTAATTGACCAAAATGTCCCAAAAAAAAAAGACTTTGTTGAAAGAATCCCTTCTTAATTAAATCATCAATTTGTCTTCGCAACTATGCGTGTTTTATATGATTCATTCTACGAACTTTGAATTTTAGAATTCATTTAAATTTTTTTTCCTTCTATTTATGTTTTTAATTATATTTTTTTACTTAAAAAATATAAGGTCACCCTATAAGGCAAATTTCACCATCTTATGCTTACACTATTTAAAGCATTAGTGAGCTATGAAAGTTTTCAGTTGAACAAAGATGCTATGAATGAAATATGCAAAATGATAAATCTTTCATTTGGTGGATAATTTCAGTATTTTGACAACGAACTTGCCCGTATTTTTAGTTTGCAAGTAACAAGAACTTTCAGGTCCACAATCCTTTTACCAGGTTCCTGTGCAAAGCAGGAAATTTTCACTTTTTTCTTGCTTTATAATTACAGTTTTTTCTGTGATCTGTGCTTGATTTTCAGACCAGTCTATGACTTATGGTTGCTTTTGTAGATAGCTGTTGAGAATATCAAAATCAGCGAAGAGCTGCAAGCCTTGATTGCCCCTGCTATACTTCCTAGATCATTTCTAAGCCTACAGGTACACTGAAAGTATGTTGTTTTTTAGAATATAGTATCTTTTACTTTGAAGAAAATTTTGACAACCACACTCATGACAAATACTGACCATTGAACCCCGCAATTCTTTCTGTTAAAAGGAAATTATGCATAATCTAATCATCAAATATCAGGAGCGCCTTTTTTTTATTTTTTTACTTCAATCATTCGTGAAATGGTTGGTGTAGCTCAAGTGAAAGATAAGATTAGAGAGAGTCACCTTAGATGGTTTGGTCACATAAAACGGTTGCCTTCCGATGACCCGGTTAGAAAAGTAGAGGTATTAAATTTGACTTATGTTAAGAAAGATAGAGGTAGACTTAAAAAGACTTTGTCAGAAAATATTAGAAATGATCTTTTCTTATTAGATTTGAACGAGAATTTGACTTTTAACATGACACAATGGAGAAAAAGGATTCATGTAGCTGATCCCACGTAGTAGGACAAAGGCTTGATGTTGTTATTGTTGTATTCATTTGAGCAGTGAATAAAATCACTTATGGTGATAAATTCCTTCTTTATATCTTTGCAGATTCTGCAATTTCTCAGAACCTTCAGAGCAAAGGTGCCTGTAAGTGGGCCTGATAGGTACATTTCCTTCTTTGCAGTCAGTCTGCTATGATCCCTCTGTTACACTTTTATTAAAAATTCAGCTATCCTGCAGAAGATCTCCAGGAGGTTTATACTACCTATCATATCTGGATCGTGACATGCTACTTGGCCGAGCTATTGGGGGTGGAGGTGTATTCATTTTCACCAGAGCCCAACCACTTGCATAGAAATGCTCCTGTTTCTATGGAGCACTTGGTTGGAACTTTTATGGCCCAAGAACGGATTTCAAGTGGGATTTGATGTAAAATTTTGCTTGTTTTGGGCTTCCTCGCTTGATATATTTTGTCAAAAGATGGTCATACAAATGGATTTTATAAGAAGTTGGTGTCAGCTATTTTATTTGATAAAAAATTTAGGGAGATTTACATGCATACCACTCAATACTATTCTATTTACATATTTAACATCTAAAATTTTAATATTATATATATACCACCCATAGTTTATTTTCATATCAAATGAGTGGTAGAGATGAAATATATGAGTGGTAGGAAGTAAATATGAGTGATATATTTGATATTAAAATAACATAGAGTGGTATGTATGTAATATTAAAGTTTTGGGTGTTAGATACATAAATAAAATGGTATAAAGTGGTATGTATGTAAAATTTAGAAAAAAATAATGATTATTGTTAAATTCTTGAGCGTTATTTTGTTCAAATCCAAATTGTTCTTAAGTGCTTAAAAAAAAAATTGAGAGAAATTATTCCGATATATTACCCGATGGCGGATCAACGTTGAAGTCAGGGTAAAAAAAAAAGTTGTATTAAAGGAGGTATTTTTTATACCCCCCACCTAAAAATTCTAATTTGCCCCATTTTTTTCAATCATAAGCATATTCGTCCATCCGGTCAGCACTTCGCAACCACTTTCACGATTCTTTCTTCCCAGTCGCATTCGAGGTTCAATAGGTCACCTTCTTAGTCTTCTCCAGTATTTTTCCTCTTATTTGGAGATCTGATAAATGGATTTGCAAAGAATCAAACTAATCTAAGCAAAATGACCACAGAGGTTTCCAAGGTTTGTCCTCCTTCCTTGGTGCCTGGATCTCTGCTCCATTTGCACCATTTCATTTATGAATCTCTCTCCTATGTTGTGCTACTTACATTCTTTCTTCTTTGATCTTCTATCACGCTCTCTATTTCGTCTATTTTGGGCATTTCTTCGTATGCAGTAAGTGCCGATCAATTACAAGTTATTGTGCATAGCTTGGAGAAACTCTCATCTCATGGTGCGTAAAGAAACAAATAGCTGTAGCTCGTTCCTCAACTGAAGCATAATATAGAGCACTAGCTACAGCCACCTGTGACATTATTTGGCTTCGCTCAATATTACAAGAATTTGGTATTCTATCTGACGCCACTAAACTCTTTTGTTATGCCCTCGCCTTGGCCAATACCTCGGTTCTTCATGCCCGTACAAAACACATAGAAGTTGACTGTCACTTTATCCGTGACTGCATAAAGTGCAACCATATTTCAGTTCATCATATTGCTACACAAGATCAATCAGCTAACATATTTACCAAGTCTCTCAATTATCTTTGCTTTGATCATTTGCGCAACAAGCTGATAGTTCAACCACCTATTATCAGCTTGAGGGAGGCTCGTAAGCACAAATGCTAAGTGCTCTTACATATGCATTAGTCGGCTCACTTATCCATGAAGTATGCTCCACTGTTTCTGAATTCTGGCAGCTGCAGTCATTCACAATCATTGGATACCCATGCCTTTAATCTCATCCATCCATTCCTAACTAACTCTGTTTTTTTTTTTTTTTTTTTTTTTTTTTTTTTTTTGGAAATTTAGGGGCAAAGCCCATAGATTGATCCAAAGGTGGTTACAAGTAAAGTAAAATTAACAAGAAAGAAGTACAAAATAAAAGAAGATTAAGGGCTAACATGAAGGCCCAAGCAAAAGGCAACAAAATTGCTACAAAGGGCTCAGTATAAAAAGCCGAACTAAAGACAATGCTGAAGAAATTCAGCACCAAAGAGACAATCGACCCATCTCCCGGTTGCCAACCAAAGCCACATTACAGTCCAACGGGTGCATAAAAAATGTTGCCAGGCCAAAACTGGACCAAAAGGAGGCAATTCAGAGGCCATCCAGGGAGAACCAATACTCCAGTTCAGCACATCATAGCCCAGTAGCAAACGCCTAGCCTACCCGAAATCCATCTTGACGAGCAAAGCAGGAGGGAAAGGTGCTAGCAAAATTTTCCCAGTTTTTCCATCTTCTAGATTTAAGTGTGATAGCCGAAATCACCAAATTGTGTACAGCCTTGGGGGATGCCTGCTTCTTCATAAATCTTATATTGTTTCTTTCCCGCCAGATTAAGTAAACCAAACAACAAATAACAAAAAAATTGAAGTTTTTATCTTCTGAATTAAACCTCTGTACTTCATCCAAAAAATTAAAAATCTGAAAGATAGTATGCCTCAAAAGAAAGTTCTCAACATACAGTATCAGACTCCGTAGTACCTCAAATGAAAATTCACATTGGAAAAATAAATGCAAAGTACTTTCATCTTCTTTTTCACATAGAGGGCATATAGGATTTATAGAAATGTTACGTTTTACTAGAACCTCAGCCGTTTTAGGCCCATCCATAACAGCCAGCAAGCATAAGAAAGTATTATATATATGCAAAATGCTTTGTTCCATATAACTTTGTTGTCGCATGAGAACTTTATTTATGTACTCGCATAAAATTAGAAGCATTTTAAAAAGTTTTAAATTTTTGTGCTCACTCTCCATTTCAAGATATATATCAGTTATCTACCGAAAGGAATTGTGTGGACTTAATATAGTGTGAAACCTTCCTCTATATAAACCTTCCCCATAAACTATTCCAGTTTCCATTAAGTAATAAATCCTTTCATCTCAATAATATCTTGGATAGAGATAGGAGAAATAGATCAGAGAGACTTGCCATTTAAGTATAGGATCCAGGTCATGAATTATTACAGATAACTCTAAAATTGATAATATGAAACATGGTATGAGATGCTTAATACTAGTAGTAACAGAACAGATAATATTCCCAAAAAGTGGAAGCAGCTTTGTGAGGGGGTTTGTTGAGGGGAATGAATAATATGAGCTTGAGCCTTTGAAGTAAGGTAGTAATTGTTGTTTGTAGAATCTCAAATAAAGCTACAGTTTGTGACCAATTTGAATGGATTAAGACCAGGTATGCTCAAACACCAAACAGTTAAGGAGCAAGCAAGTTTTTTCCAGCAATGAGTATGAAGGCTTCCTTTCTCAGTTGGCAGAGCATGATATTAGGAATTTGATGCGATCATTTTATCAATTCACTTGCATCAGCTTTTGGTAGATGCACCTCTAATAAATTTATGTTATGTATTTGGTCAATAGTAAATTTGAGATATAGATACGAATTCAAAACAAAAATATTTAATTTCAACCAGTCTAAGTCAGAGGCAATAAAGATTTCTACTTCATTAGTTGTTGGAAGTGAGTTAGAAGCCAGTTTTTTTTATTTCAATGGGGAATGCCAAGATATTTCAGTAAGTCTGCAGAGTGAAGTGAAAGCACTAGCTCTTTTAATTTCATACAGTTCATATAAGAAGAATGGGAGAAAAGGAATGGAGCATTATATGATTTTTGTTAACAATGGAGCTCATGTAGCAATAGCTAGCAAAATAGCATTATAGACAGTTAATCACTATTCTAGCAGGGCGCATTGAAGAGTGGCCGGTACAGCAAGACAATAATGAACAGCATCATACAGTGTAGCAAGTGTATGGTAAGCATTAAGGCCACATTATCAGATAATTAGCAGAATAAATCTCCAGCTCTCAGAGACAAAGAGAATGCATCAGACATAGAAACAAACAGTGGAGAGGATGGATAGCAATCGTGAGAAGGTCTAGATGATGGATGAAAGTAACACTCTAAAGGACTGTTTAATATACAAGAATAAAATGAGATACATAATGTGATGCAACTTTAATCCATGGTAATAAACATTGGGAACCTTTCTCTTGCAATCAGAATAATCAAATCTCTAGACCAAAATCAAAAGCTTTTTTGATGTCAATGCTTTACACACAAGAATCTTATTCATTTTATGAGGCAAAATCCCTCAATAATCCATTTAGCCAATATGAATGATCATAAATCACGATGAACCTGTTTTTTACATAAACTAGCTTGACTTCTCATGGATTATGAAGAGGTCATGAATCTCTTCATATCGGATTAGCAAAAGAAAGCTTGGCATAATATTTTGTAGGGGAAGGTATAATTTACAATAAAGATATTATGGCCTAATTCCGTAATGAGTGGTCGAAGAGGGTTTTTCGGGATGAGAACATAGGCCTGTATAGCTTTATCGAATAGAATATTCAATGAGAAGGGTACACAGTCATGAATGAATTTTTTAATAGGCTTAGAGCACACATAAGAAAAAGTGTCACTCCCAAGTAGATTTGTAAAAATTCCAATAGGATAAATCATCCAGGCTCGGACAGAATCCAAGAAAGCCCCTAGCAAACAAACCTCTTAAGTTTCGAAATAATTGATCAGAGAAAACAAGCCGTGAGAGAGGTCTATTCAAGATATATATATGTTGCCTCTAAGGAATGAAGTTTTATAATTATTGTTACTTTTTTCGACTATGGACAGTTTAATTGATTCTCTTTACAGTATGAAAAACTGTGGCATTGAACGAATATCAGTTAATGGCTAGATATTAGTGTGACTGATTTTCATGGTAAGAGAATTCCTTAATCTTGTTGATATTTTATTCCTAGTTTTGATTTTTGCAAATTACAAGGAATCTCAAAGTCATTATCTTTCCCATTTCGAACCTTTTGGCCTTAGCGCTTTGCATAAACTTTCATCCAAGAAGTTTACATGGCATTTATTGAAAGAAGCTAAAGAGAGTTAATATGTTTTTGTACGGTTGGCATTAATTGCAGATTCTAATCGGGTGTTTGTGCATGTTGAGATATTCTGAGTTACCCAGGCATTGTTTTCTCTGATTATTTGTTTTTTGCAGACATTTCTTCTCATAAGGGTTTGGGAATTATATTCATTAATCTTTGTATTTTCCTTGGTAAGTAAAATTTATCTTTCATTCAGTTGCTTTGTTCCTTCTCCACACAACAAATTGCATCGTATTGTTGTAGATGCCTTATTGGATTTTAAGATCATGCCTTAATGTTTATTGATAGAGAATTTTGTCAAATTGGGCTCTGTTGATATTACCAGAGGCTGTATGCTCGGATAGATTGAAGCTGAGATATATCCAGTTAATCCACCTAGCACACCTTCCTCATTGTGAATCAATAATAAATCTATCTTTTAATAAAGAGAATTCGCGGTCCGTTCAG